GAGTGTGTGTGTGAGAGTGAGTGTGTGTCTGTGTGTGAGAGTGAGTGAGAGTGTGTGTGAGAGTGAGTGAGTGAGTGAGTGTGTGTGTGAGAGTGAGTGTGTGTCTGTGTGTGAGAGTGAGTGAGAGTGTGTGTGAGTGTGTCTGTGAGTGAGAATGTGTGTGTGAGAGTGTGTGAGTGTGTGTTTCTGTGTCTGAGAGTGAGTGAGTGAGAGTGTGTGAGTGAGAGTGTGTATGTATACTTCAACTTAAATGTATTTATTTTAGTTAGTTGCTAAGGCAACATTTGTAATTTTCATTAACATTTTTTTACTTTTTTCATCTATATTCAATATTCATGTTCATCGATATTTGTTTTTATTTTATTTAGGCTTTATTTCAAATACAAAAAAAAAAAAAAACTCAACATGAATTAAAATGAATAAAATGTAAAAGTTCTAATTATAGTTTTTTTTTTTTTCAGTTGGTTCCAATGGTGTTTGAACCCAACATTCATCAACATATCTTCTTTAGCATTCACACGTTTCTGTTCTGGGGGAATGGTCTCTTTAACACTAGTGTTGGGATGCTGATCGTCCAGTGGTTTCACCATGTGATGGAGTCTGAATTCACACACGCACACTCACTTGAGCGTAGCTGTGAGATACTTGGAGATCTGGTGGTCTCAGCTTACTGTAATCTTATCGCTCTTTAAGAGCTTTGCACTAGCGTGCTCCTGTGAAGGCTTTTGGGTTTTGTGAGCTTTTATGAGCTCATTACTCAAACTCTTAGGTGCTGATGGTGAGGTGCAGAGAGACGAGAGCATACAGTGTTACTCTGATGGATAAATGAGTCCCGCAGAAGGACACATGCCCCTCGAGTAGTGCTCGTTTTCCCCCTCTAAAAGACAAAGATGTCTTGTACCGTATGGTGTGTGGCGGTAATGAGAGGACTAAACCAGCTGACACAGGTGTTTAGTCTCAAAGCCAAGGACAAATTGAACCAGCAACATCAACAACTCGCATAATTACATCACAACGCACGGCTATTCTGAACCTGATTTCCATTCTCCCTTGCAGAAAGGTGAGCAGGCAAACGGAGAAAGGAGGTTTATTTTGCTCTCTCTGGCTGAAAGAGCCATTCAGAGATGTTAAGCCCAACAATTCAGTGCGGTGCCCGTAAAACAGCTGCTCTTTCGTAGCTCCTTTATGTGTTTCAATGAAGGGTGTGGTGAGACATATATGTCGTGACGTAGCCGGAGCGAGTGCGAGCTGGAGGACTGATTTGCTGAAGCGTTGGTTTTAGCACCACTCAGTTGATTCTTGAAGACCCATCATTGTTAAAGAGCACCGTCTTCTCTTGCGTGAAATGCAGCTTTGTGTTGGCCGAGGTCTAAGTCCATTCAGTCAGTTACTAGCAGGTAACAAAGCTGACCACCCACCGCTTTCTCCATCTTACACTTGGCCTTCAGGCACCGGGTGAAATCAGAAAGACTGCATTCATATCACTGACGGAAAAAAAACAGAACATGCTTTACAGTCTAGATACATCGCTAGATAGAGCTCTCCTTGATGTAGCGTGTTGCTATCTCTGTCTTTGTCTTCTCAGCACTGGTTATGGTGAATGTCTCCTGGACGAGCCCTCGGGGAGGACGTATAACCTTCCCAACCAGCTGCCAGGTCAACTCTACAACGCCAACCGGCAGTGCGAACTCATGTTCGGCCCCGGCTCTCAAGTCTGTCCGTTTATGGTATGCTATCTAAAGCTTAGACAGAGGATCCCGAATGTCTCGGTGGTGATGTCACACCTTATAATGTCTCATCCCTGTTAACAAGAGATCCTTTGTGCATCGGTCCATCATCCTTTGGGAGGCTGTTTAGACATTTAACAAGGGAATGCCAGACTCTCTTTAGGGAACCACAATGTTTCTGTTCAGTTCTCCTGTTGTTCATCACTTCTTCTGGTCACTAGCCGGGTTTCCATCCAAAGTTGTGTATTTAGCTTTGGAATATCGCAGAAAATGTACGAATAACGTACGACTGCGCTCGTAGCGCGTGCTCGTTCAATTGCACGCACAAATGCACCAGGCGGCGCTGTAGCGTGTATCATTTCATATCAAAGCGCGAAAGAAACTACGAGCATGCAATGTCGCAGTTATGTCTTCAGTTAAGTCATTAAGTTACCAAAAAGGCGTTTAAAGCTGCCTTAAAGCTGTGCATGCATGTAAGTATTTGTTATATATGCGTCAGATTTAAGAACATGTCTCTGAAATGCAGTGGTGGAGCAGCAGCAGTGTCTCCCTCGTCTAACACACCTGATTCAACTCGTCAGCTCATTATAGAGACTTTAAGAGCTGAAGAGAGTCAGAACAGGTAAAGAGTTATGACAAACTATGATACGTGTCAGATCCGCGTCACGTTCAGCAGCAGCAGCTCTTAAAGCATCATAACCAGCTGCTGTAATGCTGTTCATCAAAGAACAAAAGAAAAAAAGAGCAAATCAATCACTTATTATAGCTTTATGGATTCATCTATATTTAATTTAGAATTTAGTGTTTGATAACTTTATCAATTTCTGTATATTTCCTACTTGTTGAAGGGCACATAGATAAATATGAGGGGAAAATGTTTTTAATAGAGACATAAGTAGTATTGGTATCAGTGATACTCGCCTTCTGTCATAAAAACAATGCCATTATACAAATATTAAAATATAATGTCTTTGTTGTTTCTCCGTTAATTTGAAGATTGAATGTGAAATTATTGCAATGTAAAAGTATTTTTAAAAACTTTAATGTTAGGCGGGATTAATCGCGATTAATTTCAGAAAACAAATGTGTAATTAATTAGTTAATTTTGTTAAATCGATTGACAGCACTAATTTTCATATATAATAAATTACTTTATTATCGAGTGAGCAGATGAAACACAATAAATGCGCTCATTGCTTTCAGAGGCGGATGCTGCTTTTTGGGAACACTGTACAACAAAATACTTTGACGACAGACTCTGCCCGGGCATTTCAGAACGACCATAACAACATTTCAGATGCTGTGCGACGAGCTCGGTCCGCGGGTTAGTCAGGTTATGCCGTGCCATAGCGCAGCCACATAATGTTTTTGAGACGCATGGAGGAATTTATGCGCAAATGCATTTCGGTCTCCCATTATTCGCATTAACCCTTTTTCGCACGAGTCAAAGCGAGCGTAAAAACTTTTTTACAAATTAAGGATTTTTGTTTCTAAATTGGGCGTTTCCATCACTCGTTTCTGATGCGATACTTCAAAATGCGTTTAAAAACAGGGTGATGGAAACATAGCTGAGTCCTAGTAGTCTCAAGGTTCTGTTAGCTAACCATCTTAATCCATTGTCCATACTAGTGACTCAACTGTATTTCGGGTTGTACCCAAGTCAAGGGAACTCTCGAGTACTTTCGTTTCCCCGGTTTTGACTGAAACGACTCTTGTCGATTGCAGAAACAGTGCAAGCGTCTCTGGTGCACCAGTGCGGAGGGCGAACATAACGGATGCCGTACGCAGCACATGCCGCTGGCTGATGGGACCGAATGTGGCTATGGCATGGTAAGACACGTTCCTGTTTTTGTCTGGCGGTCAGTCGTGCGTTAAACTCAAATGTCAAAGCTGATGAGGATGGTAATGTGAGCTTGTGTAGCTGGTTTCCCTTCTCATCCGTGACATTAGCTGCCTAAACACGTAGTCAAATTCAGTTAGGGGTATTTATTTAACCCCACATGATTGGGAAGATCTGGAACAAAGAGAGCTACAAGATAATCTGTAAAAGAAAACCATCCAGTTCCTCACGAGATCCGGATATATCGGGTGTCTCATAAGTGTTGTGATGTTGGCGTCAGTCCTCCTCTTCTTTTTTTTTCCCACCTCTTGATTTCTATGCTAATTAGCCAAATTTAGATCATTGTTGCTGGATCTTTGAGAGCTGAGAAGCAAGGTGAAGTATCAAGCCTTTGAAACCGAACGCCACCCACCTTGTTGTGAACCCGTGACCCTCAAACCTCTTTACGCCGCAGGTGAGTGGGTCACTAGTCAGAGTTTTAGAGAGTGTTGGGTTTACATGCTACACTCAGGGAAGAACTGCAGAAGGAGGGGGTCCGTTTTTCCTTTTTTTTTAACCCTTTAAAGGGATAGTTCACCCAAAAATGAAAATTAGCCTATGATTTACGCACCCTCAAGTCATCCTAGGTGTATATGACTTTCTTCTTTCAGACGAATCCAATTGGAGTTATATTTAAAAACGTCCTGGCTCCTCCAAGCTTTATAATGGCAGTGAATGGGTGTTATTTTTCAATAGTCCAAAAGCAGTCCAATAAAGCGCATCCATCCATCATAAAAAGTGCCTCACACGGCTCTGGGGGCTGAATAAAGGCCTCCTGTAGCGAATCTATTTGCTTTTGTAAGAAACATATCCATATTTAAAACTTTATAAGCAGTAATCTCTAGCTTCCGCTAACTGTCGTACGCTTGTTCATTCCGGCGGATGGAGGAGGATGTAGCGTAAGCTCCGGTGAGAAGTGACGAATGCGGAAGTGCAGCGGAGAGAGCAAAACAAAACACCGGTCACGAATTAAAGTACAAAATGAAGATTTGTAAAGAAAAATGTGGGAGAATTTCAGTATAAGCCGAGAGGAGACTGGTTTTCCTTTGCTAAAGTAAGGACACTTTGCTTCCTTTACTCCTGTAAACAAACGTCGGTTCTCGCGAGACTAGCATATTAGCAAGCGCAAGCTAGAGATTACGGTTTATAATGTTTTAAATAAGGATATTTTTCGTACACAGACGCATTAATTCACTTCAGGAGGCCTTTATTCAGCCCCCGGAGCCGTGTGAGGCACTTTTTATGATGGATGGATGTGCTTTATTGGACTTATTTTGGACTATTGAAAAATAACACCCATTCACTGCCATTATAACGCTTGGAAAAGCAAGGATTTTTTAAATATAACTCCAATTGTATTGGTCTGAAATAAGAAAGTCATATACACCTAGGATGGCTTGAGGGTGAGTAAATAGTGGGCTAATTTTCATTTTTGGGTGAACTGTCCCTTTAAGTGCAGGGGAAACTTCTAGAACAAGGTTTTCTGAGTGAATCAAATGTTAACTGAGGTTGGCAGTATCTTAATCCAACCAAAACAACCGCAATCAGGTTAGTGGCTGGGAAAGCAGAAACCTTTCTTGTTCTCATTAACCGTGCGACTGCCGTGCGGTACGTGAAGGCCTGCGGAGGAAGGAGCGCGAGCAGCGTTTGTTGGTGGTTCTCACCATCATCTGATTAAAACCACAAGGGCATGAAAGAGTTCATGTCAGTGTTACGCTTCATTAGCGAAACAGACCTCCCCTTTGACTAGCGCTTCACATCTATTAATGCGCTAGCATTATTGCTTCAGTGACCGTAATGGTTTATTAAAGCAGTGTTAGTTCAACCAAACATCCCTACATCAATTTATATGAAAAAATTAAGTTGGGGAGGAATTATCTTACGTTTCTCAACTGGTTTGGCTTCAGGAACCAGATTTTACATTAGATGGCGATTCAACACAGAGCCAAAATTTTGTATCATACAAAAAGTGTCATCAAAATGGACATATATGTATATTTAAAAACTTTTAATAGTTTGAGTGTTTGATTTATTTCTGCTGGTTTCATACTCTCGGCTGCCAATGGTTCATCTCATAAAAACACACTTTAATTGGAACAAACCATATTTATGTCTTTGAACCCATATTTAATGTCATCTGGGTCGTATTTTCTATTATTTTAGTTTTATTCAAGGTCAACCAGCGTATGTTGGCACCGGTGTAATTTGACAAGCTTCTACCGAGTGACAGATGGGTTTGAGCTGAAATACTTGCATGGGTTTTCAGCAGAATAGATGGGAAGTGTTTCTTTCTTCGTTTTTGATTGTATTTATTTTGCTGTCCAAACTCTTATATTGTATAGTTAGTTCATTCAGAACGGAACTGGATCGTGAGCCACCCATTTAGAAGCGCTGTTATATATCATGCCAAGAGGAATAGTTACTGCGTGACTCTTTACTAAAACATGGACACAAAGGGTCTTTTTTTCTTGGGCTTCTACACCTCGTGGCCCCTGCACCTTTGTTTGTGGTGCTGAGTGCCTGGTGTCACCTCCTTATGGGGCCGTTTGAAGTGGCAGAAGTTGAAAGAAAAGCAGCTCTCGGTCTCGGGTCACCTGCCTGTCTCGAGCTCTTTAATGTGGGAAGGTCCTCACGAAGGCTTGTTCAAATGATCACTCTTTCTCTGTCTCCCTTCTCTCTCATTTATCTCCAAACATTGGCCGTTTGATTCCGTTTGAGCTTGTAAATGGACCACTGTGTACACAAACGCTGGTACTCAAGCGCTCTAGCGGAGATGCAGAAGAGCAACGTGACGGAGCTGGAGTTCGGATCACGACCGCAATTGCTTTGATTCTTTGTGGTTTCCTCCTCGTTCCCTCGGCCTCTCTCTGTCCTCGATTCCCTCTCCTCCCGAACTGTCCTGCAGGGCGCTGGAGTGAGTAATGTGGTCACATGACCCCAGCGGCCTGTCTGTCATCCGGCTCAGTGAGCCCTGCGCTAACGAGGGCATCCCATCACTTGCCATCTATAAATACCAACACCTCCCTCCCTCCCTCCTTTCGAGAGAGAGCCCAGGCATGGGCCGCAGTCAATCCAGTTCCTGTCATCTCCAGGGCGAGCCGGCCTGCCATCCAGAAGCTATTTTGAAGAGCCCTGCCGGCATGAATATGTGCTTGTGAGAGGGTTTCAAAAGCACAAGGATTGGGGGCGCACAGAAGACCACCAGCATGTCTTGTGTTTTAGACCCTGAAGGGATAGTTCACCCAAAAATTCAAATTACCCCATAAGTCATCCTAGGTGTGTATGACTTTCTTCTTTCAGACGAATCCAATCGGAGTTATATTAAAAAGTGTCCTGGCTCTTCCAAGCTTTATAATGGCAGTGAATGGGTGTTATTTTTCAATAGTCCAAAAGAAGTCCAATAAAGCACATCCATCCATCATAAAAAGTGCCTCACACGGCTCCGGGGGCTGAATAAAGGCCTCCTAAAGCGAATCGATGTGTTTGTGTATGAAAAATATCCATATTTAAAACTTTATAAACTGTAAACTCTAGCTTGCGCTTGCTAATATGCTAGTCTCGCGAGAACCGACGTTTGTTTACAGGAGCAAAGGAAGCAAAGTGTCCTTACTTTAGCAAAGGAAAACCTCTCGGCTTATATTGAAATCCTCCCACATTTTTCTTTACAAATCCTCGTTTTGTGCTTCTAATTCGTGACCGGTGTTTTGTTTTGCTCTCTCCGCTGTGCTTCCGCATTCGTCACTTCTCACCGGAGCTTACGCTACATCCTCCATCATCCGCTGGAATGAACAAGCGTACGACAGTTAGCGGAAGCTAGAGATTACTGCTTATAAAGTTTTAAATGTGGATATATTTTTCATACACAAACGCATTGATTCGCTACAGGAGGCCTTTATTCAGCCCCCGGAGCCGTGTGAGGCACTTTTTATGATGGATGGATGCACTTTATTGGACTTCTTTTGGACTATTGAAAAATGACACCCTTTCACTGCCATTATAACGCTTGGAGGAGCCAGGACACTTTTTAATATAACTCCGATTGGATTCGTCTGAAAGAAGAAAGTCATATATGCCTAGGATGGTTTGAGGGTGAGTAAATAATGGGCTAATTTTCATTTTTGGGTGAATTAACCCTTTATCTTGCTCAACTAGCAAACCTCCATGGATTTTAATTAACTGGTAAAATTTTCTTTCCAGCAGAGGAGCTGTAGGGGAAGTTTCCAGGGTGCTGGTTGCGACTTAAACCATGAACTCAACAGTTAATGCAGTCCGTTTATCAGGACATATCCCAATAAAGATGCTTCCAAGTGAAGTCAAATCATAATTGTGCTTGCATTCAGTTCCTCTGCCAGTAAGCTTTTATGTCTGGAGGTACAGTTGACACTATTGTGTGTCTAACCCTCCTCAGCAGAACCTTCAGCCTGTCCTGGTCTCAGGCAGTCAGAGAAAGAGACTGAAGGCTTGTAGACGCTGGAGAATCTGTTGGCCGTGGCTCTGCGGGTTGGCTGGTGTTCCTCCGTGTGGATCACTTGTCACTTCTCCTGCTAATCTGCATGTGTTTCCAGCGAGACGTCTAGTACTGTAACGGCGGCCCAGGATCTGATTTCCACGAATGAGTTGTTGTGATCGCCAAGTGATGGAGGTAAAGGTGCGTTCATGCTGTTTGCCGAATGGTTCTCAAAGTTTGTTTCACCTTTTTTAACCAGCCAAGTCAATTAAAAACAGGTTAGTGTTGTCGTGAAAGCTAATGCCCGGTTTGGCCAGGTGTTTGGCAGTGCTTCAGAAGGACAGAGAAACACGGTAAGCCTTTGTATGAGAAGTTATAGTTTAGAAGAGTTGATTAAATATCAAATGAATGCTAGGATGTGTTGCTGTCATATTTCAGAAAGCAGTGGCATGAAATCTAGAAATGTTTGCAATCACGTACTTGCATGTTTCCGGTGCATGTTATGTATGTGTTTGTTTATTTATAAATGCATTTATTTTCTGTATTTTTACTACTTGTAATTTTTATAATTGATTCTAATATTTAATTTCCATTTTTACAAGTGCAAGATAATATTTGGTGGGGAGTTATATAGGACTGGACTTTATTTTCTCAATCAGGATTTGATTGGATCATAAAAAGTGGGCTGTGATATTATTGCCAAGTATGAGCAAACAGTTGGTGAGTATTAATGTTATTTGTTGACATTGATGACAAATTAACTTACCCGATGAATCATTCTGAATAATACCAGGAACATGAATTAGGAAAGTGACTAGTCGATTTTGATGTGCGTGTGCTAACGGAAGCCTTCTGTGAGTGCCGTGACCTTTAACCCTGAGCTGTGAGAAGTTCTGCATGTGAGGTGATGTGTTTTGCAAACGAGCTTGTCTGAATGAGCGAGGGTGAGAACGAGAGCTGTTTTCCTGCGCTCACACAATTACAGGCACATTTAACCATACAGCACCTTCACACAGCAGATGGGCCGCTGCTTCTGACAAGTTTGTTTCTTTTTATAATTATATTATATTTTGTTTATTTGTGTATTTATTTAAATGTGGCATAAATTATTTTATCTTTATTTGATTTGATTTTACACACCGCACATTCACAGAGCAGCAGATAGAACAACATTTTCTGCTGCTTCTGACAGATTCATATTTTTATTTATTAATTCATTGATTTTTATAATCTTTTTATTTTTATTTTATTTTTATTTATTTTTTCCATTTTATCATACAGCACCTTCACACAACAGAGAGATCGCGTTTCTGTTGCTTTTGACAGGTTTTGGACTTGCGGTCTTGGCCACTTGAAGTAAGTGCGCAAGACTGTCCCAGGTCTTGGGGGAAGTTGTGGCCTAATGGTTAGAGAGTCGGACTCGTAACCCAAAGGTTGTGGGTTCAAGTCTCG